TTATATCAATTGTTGTTTTCTTTACTCTAGAATGGGCCCTTTATATTGAAATACTTTACATTTACATAAGGAGAGGTTCCTCTCTACGGAGCCCGCCATATTTTTTACAGTAGCCCAGACAGGACAAAGTAAACACCGTGAGTTTTTATGAAGTTTCCACAGGTTCTCTTTCATGTTTGAAATGGGAGGGTGAGGTGAGGGAAATTCAGCTGCAACATGCAACCTCACCACTAGATGTTACTAAATTCTACACACTGAACCTTAAAGTCTAGCTCAAGGCTATACTTAATGCACTGCTGTGACGAGTACAAACACGAGAAAAATTTGATGTAATCTGCTCTCTTATCCAACTGATTTGACTTACCACAAATAAAACTGACAAATCAAATTTTCTGATGATTTATGGGGTAAATTTGGTTTCAAAGCAAGCTCAACTATTATTCTGTAAAACCACGAGACGATGAGAATACTTTATGAGAGTTTGAGGATGAACATGATGACAATGATGATGATGAAGGCAAAGTCAATGGTTAGTTGTGTGTGATTCCTGAAGTACACACTGTGTAAAAACCTGTCTCTCTCTTCTCTATGACCTTTCCCGCACTAACAGAAAGGATATGGCTGTGAAATACAGACACCTGCTACTGGGTATGTTTTGGTTTGTTACAGTATAGAAATAGAGAAATTCCATAAAAGACATGGTTGTGCCTTGTGTGTAAAAAGAATTCCTTACGTCAAAGGGATTGAGCCTTCATCATACTGGGGCTAAACCATGGGTGTGTTTCAATAGTCTCATGAGGCTTTGCATTAACTTTGCTCAGAGTAAAATCAATGCCAGTTGAGTTTACTATCACTAATTTGATACAATTAAAGGAAGCTACATTAGAGTATTGAGCTGCACCCCATGACTCCTCGACATGACATGCTGAAGGAGCCCCGGGAAAGAAATACTCGGCTGCTTGGTGAGACAGGGGAGAGGAATGAATGAAGGGGTAAAGAGATCAAACTGAAAAGATGAAGAGTAATGACTGATGGTCAGGCCTCAGGCTCAAGAGGTGGGTTCCTTTTAAATCAGAAGCTGCATGTCACACAGGCACAGGCTCACCAAACGTGCACGCTCATGACCATGTGCACACTTATGGGCATAGAGGGGCCATATTCATTCACCAGAGTCCATCAAAGCTTGTCTAATTTTTAAGTTAGAGAATCGTGCCGTACTCAAGTCCAAGCTCAAATTCTCTGCTTTCAACCGAACATACATACCCATCCATTTTTAGATTTCCTCAACTGTGACCCATTCAATCAACCTGCCTTCCATCCATCCGTCCATCTCTCCTTCACTCTGTCTCTCAGTATGAATACGGCCCAGTGAGTTAGGGATGCACATGCCCAGTCAGTGGCTCTTTGTCACAGAGTAAACCTCCTAAACCTCCTCTGGTCTAGACAGGTTTGACCACAATGCCGGTTCAGGAAGCGTTAGAAAACAGTGCTGAGACGACATTAGAGAAGAGCTTCAGCTCTTCTGTGCAGCAGGATGAGCTGGGTGTGGGGGGGGAGGTAGACAGGCCAGGCTGGATGGGGTGGGGGACACAGCGCATGCTCAACTCAGCCCAGCATACACTCACACAGATTAAAGAGAGGAGAATGGCAGCTCACTGATTTCAGGAGTTTTTAGCAATACACTAAATGTCAAATTTGTTTGTGGATATTCAGGCTACCTGGTCTGTGTTGGTTAAAAGTCAGTGTTATGTGCATCTAAAGAGGACAGAGGTTTTACTTCACTGAGCTGCCATCTCTCCTGTGGGTGAGAGCAGTAAAAGGGGGGAAATACCTGCAGTGATACTATTCCAGTCTAGCAGTTTGTATGAGCGTGTGTTACCCAAGGCTGGGCCAGAACACACAGTTAGTACAGAAAAGAGAGAAAAAGAAAAGAAGAGAGTCTAACAAACAAGCATGACACGACAGCAGCACTCCACAGTCACTACGCAAAGACAGACAGCACTTCACAGTCACTGTGCAAACACAAACTTAAGTCAGGCCTATGAACGCAATCTGAAAAGAAGGAGATTGAAGAAGAAAAGAGGAAAATAGAGATGAGAAAAAGCTTAAGACCTAGTGAAAATTTGGAAAAAGGACTTGAGGTGAAGAAAAAAAAAAACATGCAGTAGCAGTTTATCTCTTAACTTAAAAAGATGCCATGTGGAGTTTTCATTCAAACAACTCTTGCTGCACAACCCCTTGCCAACATGCATTGTTACAAATACGGCACCTAAATTTTGTTGTACAATGTCACATTGTTACAATGACAATAAAGATTTCTGATTCTGACTGTTGTGCTATCAAACCCTCCTAAAGCGACATTTGCGAATGATATTTACAATATTAAGATTTTAAATGGTGGCGATTATAATCACCAATTGTCAATCCAAGGAAAAGAGAATGAGTTTGCGTCCATCACATTTAGGTGTGGGCACACGTGTGCACAATACAAATGAAACAGGGACCCATCAAAAAAAAACAGAGTTACCTTCAGTCAAAACTCCACAGGACACCTTTATATCTGATCTGTAGCTGATATAATCTATTCCACGCATGAACAGGGATCTCTCCAGAATGTTTGGAACAGGGAGAACAATGTAAAACTAGGTTTTTTGCACTAATTCATAACAGTAAAACGGTAAGTTTACTCATTATATACTAAATATTTTTGCTGAAAACAATTTGATATATGAGGTTTAATTTGGTTTCTAAATATATCCCTGCTTATCCTAACCCAGCCAACAATCATAAGCACTACCCTTTCTCCAATTTCTCACACATTCTTAATTCATAATAGTCAAAGGCCAAAATTACTGAGGATTCAGATGTTCAAACACCTTCAATAGGTAGAAACTCACCTAATAAGCAAAATCAATATTATGATTATGAACTGAGATTAAAACCTTTTAGAGGGGTGGAGGCATATATTAAACACCAATGAACCTCACCACAGCACCACCTGCAGCCAACAACAACACCACACAACAGATGCAGCAGGCGACAGACTGGAGCCATGCACCACTATAGCACCTCATCTCCGGGGGGGGGGGGGCAGTCAGTCAGTCAGACACAGTCAGTCAGACACAGTCAGTAGACACACACATCACACACATCACACACATCACACACATCACTTGACCAGCACTGACTACATATTATCAGGAGGTGAAAGTTGCCCCTATCCATTTATTTGTTTTGACAATAACCCTCACTTTAACACAATTATAAAGCAGCAGCCCATCAGCCTGAACAGGAACAGCTTTCACCTGCTTAAGGACTCGGGAAATGACTCAAGTCTTTCATCATCATTTCTCTACACAAATCAAACATATCAGGAGCTGGACCAACCACTTGCAACAACACTGGACACTCACACAACACTATAGGTTGATGAAGAAACTCATATTGTTTAACAGGACAATGGATAAGCACCTTGTGGGTCTGTGTGTGCTGAACTCACCAGGGTTGTGTATTCGGTCGAGTAGTTTGACAGAGCGAGCGCTGACCACTCCGCCGACATGGACCAGAAAACCGTGTGGGAAAGATGTCAAAGTGAAGAATGGGAACTCCTGCTGATAGAAATAAAGCTTGGTCACTTACAGCAGAGGAAATCACACTCTGGACTTCTCCTGTATATTTTTGCTATTATCATCTAATTATCTACGCCATGATTAGAATATTTTATGTTTATAATATCCCACTGCCTGAGTTCAAATGTACTGTTTTTGCCGAATAAAGGTTAAAACTATTTTTTTCTGATATTTTTAATTCAAAAAACGTATTAACAACTTAAATAAAGTAGCAATACAAAATTTAACTTTTTAAACTTAATTTTTTTGGCAAATATAACCCAAAGTTTTTGTAGTGCTCCGATACAAGTAATTTATTTTTTAGCCCAAAAAAATATAATATTATAAATGATAAACAAATACTAACACTTCATCATGTGGTCTCTCTGGGTGTACTGCTAAAAAATACACCTGTTTTTCTAAAGTCCCAAACTGCATCGTAACTGATGTGTGTAGACTATCGTGTTTAGTGTCAGGAAATGTGCAAACATGCAGCAAGGATCGAGTGTGATGGTGTTTCCCCATGCAAGGTTTACCCCCAAGGAATCCCCACTTGTTCCACTCCTACCTACATTTGTTGAGCATTTCAAATAGATCTGTAAGTGATTGAGGAGGCCTAGATATGGTGATTTAGTGATTTATTCAATCCTTTCAAATCTATATAAATGCTTTTTTTTTTTTTTAATCACCAAATGATAATGTGATTTTCAAATGAAGGGCACCCAAACACATTTTTACATGCTTCTCTTTCCACAACAGGACAGGTCTGGACACACTGGTCCTCTTCCTTCACTTAAATATTGAGTTGCTAATCCATGCAAATTAAGCAAGATCACTGGAACTGCTGGTTAGCATCATGGTCATTCTATTTTGACCACCTTCACAGAAAACCTGAAGGATGTTGTGATTATCAATCATGCAGGTAAATGTGATGAATGGCTGAGGTCAGAAATAAGGTGGGACTACTATTACTTTCTTTCTTGTCCAGTACTCTTGGAAGGAATATAGAGCTACTAATTTGACTGACAGCTCCTTCCACTTGGAGCAGAGAGGCAAGAATGAAGTGATGAGGTGAGCGTGCTCATTCCCTTTGTTGACACAGGAAACTTAAAATCAGACTCTGGAAAAGAAGTTCGAAAAAGAGTGTTCGAAATGAGTATCTAGAGGGCACACACACGCACAGCCACAGACCCCTTTCAAAACTGAAAGGAACACAACTCCTAGCCTCCCAGCCCTCAAACCCACATGTCTGTGAATCCTTTAGAGTGTAGCCGGTGCATAGCAAACACAACGACAGGCAAAGGATGCTGTGTCGCTAAGTCCCAGCCTGCCCCTCTGGGATCTACAAACAGTAGAGGAGGGACGGGTTAGGAGTTGTTTCGGACCGGTTGGTGGCCATAGGCTGGTCAGGATGTTAGAGGAAAGGTGGAGAGAAAAAGCGTCACACTGATGGGACATACCCTGGCGTTTAACAATAACCCAGAGGAGGACGTTCCCTGAGTAGCACAAGTGATCAAGAGGACAAAGAAAGGGAACATTACTTGCTCTTACACAGACCCACTCCCCATTGAACACGTAACCACCTCACCAGTGTAAACTAGAAATCTTTCACCAAGAAAGCAACATGTGCCTTGTGTGACATGTGGGACTGATGCATCATAAACTGCAGGTCAAAGTATCACCTGTGTCGGATTGTGTTTATTTTGGCTAATTAAAGAGGCATCAGACAAGTAGTGGTTCAACGTGGTATTATTGTTTGGTCTTAAAGACACTGCAGTAACACGAAAATGCAGGTACTTTTCCTCAGAGCTGGCTCCAGAGGAAGTTGTCAAAACTACTTTGCTGATATAAGCAGGAAAGAGAGAAGTATGTATACTGTAAGTATAATGATGTTATACTGAACATGCAAACCAGCAAAAGCTATAACAATGATGCAATGTTGCACAGCATTGCATTGTAATAACATAATTTGAAATAGCATTAGTCTGGGGATGGATACCAAGATAATTCTATTCTTCGTGTCCCGGTGGCACAGACAATAACATTGTAGATGCAAGGTTTAGAAGGAACAATATAAGTGCGGACAGTGTAAATTTTTCCATCACCATTATACTGTGCAATTAGTTCTAATATCGTAAATAAAGGTTTAAGCCAAAAAGTTCGGTAACACTGTAAGATTTCACTTGCCTTTTAATGTGCAATTCAGTCTCAAATGTCTACACATGGTGTGAGTCCGTAAAAAACGCTTGTGAGCATGTGTAAATGAGTCATCATACCCTCTGTTCAAGAGCTGTCTGCGTCTGTTGTCTGAGAAGGGTCTTCAGAGGCCCCGCCTCCTTCCCGGCACTGCCCCCACTGCCCATACCTGATCACAGAGGAGAGTCCGGCTGTAGTTTCATCACTTTAAACACAAATGTAAAACGGACTAGAATGCCAAGTCAAACAGTCAGTTGGTATTACATTGTAGTATCAATGCTTTAGTGACAAAACAAACAAGCAATTGCTGGAACTGTGCACAAGATCTTAGGCTGAGATGGATAAATAAACCTGCATCAATAATAAACCTCATCCTAAGTCTAGCCTACTCTACTTTTACTGGACGTAGTGTCAGGATTGGATACCACTGACAAACACATCACACGACATGCTGAGGTAGGAGAATCAGAAGTATTCAAAAATGGGCTCTGGGCAGTTATAACATGCATATTGAGTTAATGTTCCTGATATCATCATTCAAGTCGATGCCCTGCCTTTAAGAGATGCCAAAGCAACAACGTTATAAGGTTCTGTTACTTGGTGACACACAGGACTCCAACTATACCAGAGGATGCCAGCAGCAGGTCCCCCGTGAAGGACACGCTCTTTCTCAGCAAAGTAGAGTCTGATTGGATGGAGATAAAGGGCAGGGTGGTGGCTCTAGGGGCAGAGCCAAGACTGCAGCCCAATGAGCCAGAACCAGGAAGGGACAGACTGGCTGTGGAGAGGGTGGGGGAGCTGGGGCAGAGGAAGATCCCAGGCCTGCATCTCACAGTCTGGGTCTCCTCTATCCAGCAGTTAAATACAAACAAGTGGAGGTTGCACAGAGGAAAAAAGAATGGATCAGAATTGAGAATGGAGAGGCAGAGTAATAAGGAGATGGAGCAGAAACACAAATAACAAAGGAGGTTAAGAAGGATGTGATAAGGAAAAAGGGGACAACAGCATGGAAAAAATGGTGGTGATGCCTCAATTTGATAGGCTGAATCGGTTTAAACATTGATACTGCCCTTATTTATTGGATAAGGTATGAAACATGATGTGACTGATTGACCTTATATAAATAATGACTTTTGGGAGGGAGATATACTCATCTTACATCCGCATGAAAGAGGCGACTGGTATTGACTCAGGACTTTCTGAATTGCGGTTTTGGAGAATAAAAGTTGGACTGGTTCATCCCATAAACTGTATATAAAGATCAACGAAATCAAACCTCCCAAAACAGAAGCCAAATTATCTTGATCACCCCCTGGTGGCTTACAGCAGTGTAGGTCATAAACCCTACTCCTCCATGTGAGTGGATGGGACATGGACTAAATCTAAAATTCAAAGTTTATGTTAAATAAATGCTTCTCAAATACGGTTTCTGTCATTATACATAGTTGTTATCATATTGAGGTTTGTTCAATTGGTCATATTTGTAATTAATTAAATTAGTTATTTGATGATATTACAACAGGTAAAACATTATGATAGACAGCTGAGAATGACTCGATTGGTTGAGCTTGTATCTGTGTATGGCTCCACACCACAATCACTACTGTGCAGACTGTGGCTCTAAATGACTGAATACAAAGCGCAAGATGGTGGCACCTGTATCTGGGATATTTGAGCTTCATTTTTGTACAGTAGGAAATGTATACGCATCATCCATTTTATATACAGTCTATGGTTCATTCCCAATGCAAAGGATGCAGGTGGGCTTGATAAGTCAAATTAAAGAAATTGAGGATAGAAAAGACAAGAGGGAGAGAGGACAATAGGAGGCTGAACAAAGCAGATGATAGTGAAGTGAAAATAAGAGAAAGAAAAGTAGAGGAGTGGGAGCAAAGAGGAGGAAAGTAGGCTGCTGGTCCTCCTGAGGCTCTTTGTGAGAATCTTCCTCAGACTTTGTTGCATTTCTGCTTAACTGTGTGAAAATGTGCTCAAGTTGTCCTTGGGGCAGAGTTTGACTAAGTTCACCTTTACCTCAATGATTAACCATAATGGCTGCTAATGAAGAAGTGACCGTAGATCAACTACAGCCCCTCATGAAACACAGTGCTTCAATTTAAGACCACAACAACAAGGGAAAATAACTAATACAGAGACCTGATGTGTCTTCACGTTATTATACCTATGTTAAAAAAATGTTTCAATACTGTGAAGCGACACACCAGGCTGCTGAAGACAAGAGGGAGGATGAAACACAGCAAAATAAACATTTACAATGCAATTTACAGTATTCAAATATCAAACTCAACCATGGAAAAACAGAAAAGGAAAAAAACCTCAACATAACTTCAAAATCTACCACCAGAGTAGCACCAGAATGAGTTGTAGGGGAGGAGAGGGATGACAACGGGAAGGTCAGGGACAGGGCCAAGTGTTCTTACCCGTCTTGGGCGTCAAACTGAGGTCTGTGTCTGATGATGAGGACTGGCGGCTGCATGGCTTGGATGGAGAGAAGGGGGGAGGAGAGGAGGAGGAGGTGGGGAGGGCTCTGAAAGGGGTAGGCGGGCCGGAGAACGAGGGCAGATCCTCAGCAAATACCGGCCTGCCAGGAATACATGACACACACACGCACACACACACACCTTATCAATTACCACGCCAGCCTCAAGGCATTTGTGTGTGTGCATATATGAGAGTGGGTCAGTGTTGACATTTTGAACCTGCGAATTGTTTCGTCTGGGTTAGGCGAGAGTGAGGTGCTACAGATGGCTGGAGAACAAAAAAGCAAGCGTGGAAAGCAAAAGAATATATATCAAACACAAAGAAACACACACATTCAACTAAAACAAAAGAAATGTGGCAAAACACAAGGTCAGATTCAACAGAGGATGATGAGCTGAAGCACGTGTCCCAATGGAGTGAAGCAAAGGTCACAAGACTGTAGGGAGACCATAGGCCCTTCCTCAGGGGTAAGCCACACCTTGAACATTTTTTTGTGCAAACAGCCAATCGAAATGCAGAACGGTGCAGCTTGGAACATGACAACCCACCCCCATGTCGTTGGAATTGATAGGTGGAGGGATTTGAGGCTAGTATCAACAGTCTGCCTATTTCTAATAAAGGTATAAAGGTGTGTCTTCCTTCCTTTGTCTCGATGCCTCTGTCTTGAACATATATTGCAATGACAAAGCTGTCAAACTATCCAGACTCCAGCAAAAATAATTTTCTCCTTCAGCAATATCTAATTCTGTTTGAACTTCCTCTCTGCCTTCTGTATCTATTACCTCCCCTGGCTCTTCGTACCAGTAAAGATGAGTGTGGGAACAGAGACAGAGAAGTTCTGGGACAGTCTCTGGGAGCTGCAGGCCGAATGCACTGGGCTGTTGTGGGTGGAGCGGCATCCATGGGCAAGGGGAGACCTGGGCCGATCAGCACGCAGGAAGAGAGAGAGGAGAACGGAGGAGCGATTTTGAATACGAGCAGCGAGAAAGGATCCCGGTCCAATTGGTAGCCAGAGAGAGGAAGAAAAGAGATGCACAACAACAACCAACACCACACCATCGCAACAGAGTGACAAAAGAGACAAAAAAGAAAAGAACACAAAAGAGGGTTTTTACTCTCTCTTTGCCGCTGTTATTCCATTTACAGCCATGAGAAAGCAGAAGGAAATGCATGCACAGCTCTCAGCTACAGATCTCAGTCTCACGCAAACATGCACAGCAGGGATACAAACACAGCAGAAGGCAACAGGAACATGTAAATCAATAGAAAACTAACAGCAGCAATATTGATGATAGAATGGTTGAGCAAAAATGCCATTTGATTGTTGCAGCTTCGCAAATGGCACAATTTACTGCTTTTCTCCATTTTATGTTATCTTAAAGTGCAATCTTTGAGTTTGGGCCATAGGTCAGATAAGTGAAGCAATCCGAAGACTCATTAAAACCTCACAAGTAAGGTAAGAGTGCCATTAAAGCCGTAACCAAAAGGTGTTGATATCCCTGATTCACACTATCTCAAACAGATAGAAATGCAAATCAGTGGCACACATGCAGCTTACATTAACTGGAGGAAATCACAAACTCAGCAGTCAGGGTTAGGACAGCAGACAGTAAAGGGACACACTATTAGAGGCTGAGCGGAAACACATGTGCTGGTCACTCACTAAAAGCACTCGAACATGCAGAGCTAGCGCTGAAAGCCATGCAAGAGCAGCCTACAAGAGCTGACAAGGGAGGAGGACAGGGGTGAGGATGTGTGTGTGCGCGTGTGTGTGTGTGTACTGTACATGTGTGTGTCTCAGGTTATGTGCTGTTAGTTTCATAGTGCAATACATATGAAGAAAATAGAAACACAAACTACAAATAAGGGACTAAAAGATACTGAGACACACACAGGACTAACTGTGAGACTATACACAGACTAACATACAGTTTATTTCCTCCACACAGTCTCCCTCTCATGCACACTGCAATCATCTTTCTCCATTTTCACAAACTAGATTCGGTGTGGAGTATAAAACAAAGCAGGGTTCATGCATGTGTTACTGGTTCATACTTACTCCTTTCCATCCTTAGAAGGGGAATTGCAGGCATTGGTAACAGGGGCTGTGTTTGGGTGCACGTGTGTGTTGGTGTTCGGGGCACTCCCGGAGCTGACTTTGTCCAGTGTGCAGCCAGTGCCTATGGCTCGGACCACCAGGCCTGACTCTCCCTCCAGATCGAAACACTGCAAATAGCCCACCACTGCATTCCCGCCCATCTCCAGTACCTTGAGCCCTATCTTCCTCTGCAGCTCTCCTAAATTGTAATAACACACAAGGGTTGGTAGGGTGGAAGTGGATGATCAATTCCTCTTCTTGTACATTGACATGAAAAGAGTGAATATTCTTACCAGACATAAGAGAGATGAGCCTCTGACGAGCCTCATTGGAGGCGCGAGGAGTTCTAATGCGGTCGATCCACTGGTATTCTGGATCTTCATTCACTACAAGTTCCTCCACAAAGCCGTGCACCATTGCTACTCGGTAGCACCGTGGAATGGATGTGGCTGTCATATACAAATTAAAAAAAACATCACATAGGGACAGAATTTCAAGCCAAGCTTTTTATTTATCCATTATTCTATTTGAAGAACATATAGAGACACAAGTGACAGATCCTTATAGATAACCACTCAAACAGACTGAAGAGGAGCATCCACTTTGTGACTGAAACATCAGCTCTATAACGCTTAGCATCTTTCCTGCATTGCTTTGTACATAACAACCCTGTGTGCAATCTCACAACTCTGCACTTCATGCATTAAAATTGTGTCTAATGATGTATTTTAAGACTATAAACAAACAATTGTGAACCAAAAGTCAAGTCAGACGTACTGCAGAAGAACTTAACCCCGCAGGAGGACTGTCTGAAGCGGTTCAGATCATTGAAGAGCTCCACTTTGACAAGGATGTTGATTTCCCCTCGAATTCCTGATTGGAAATAATGAACAGAAATACATATAGTGGGAAATAAACGCACATTGTGATTATTACGGTCCTATAAGTTAATTGTCATACCGTGGATGGTGTCATAGATAGGAAACCAGCCAGAGATGACAGAGGCCGCCTCATTGGACAGTAGCGGGTCAATATCAATGTAAACTTTCCCTATGGCATCATTAGCACTGTATGTGTCATGGTCCAACACTGTGATCTGCAATGGCTCATCCTGCAAGTCCTCATCATCGACCTAGTCAGCAAGAGAAAGAAAGGGAAAGAACACAAAGGGTTAAGAGAGTAGCTGATGTAATACATGCTTATTTACTTTTTTAAGTAAAATGCACTAAAACGAGTCCAGCCAACTTACCAGAGACATAAAAATTGGCGGTGCCTAAATCATAAACATCATACCTAAGGCCTTTTATGATTATAGGCATTTAACACCAAATGAGCGAGGTGAACACTTTGTGTGTGTAAACAGGAACTATGGCCCTGGTCAGACCTTGTTTTAACATCTGTCCCGAAATATCTGATTACACGTAGACAGAATTAACCTTGGGATAAGAACTCAGCTCCCATGAACACCAAATTATGCTGAGTCTACAGATGTGTCTGTTGGCAATGTGTGTGTGTTTGTGTGTGTGTGTGTGTCGGCACGAGTGAGCTAGTAAGAGACTGTAGCGGGTTAGAGGAAGCTGAGTAGGCAGCCCAGGGCAGATTTGTGTTAACACTGTGTAAGGAATGTGGCCACATGCGACCCACAGACCACCTCCAAATGTCATTTGAGTGATTAGATCTCAGGACGCATTGAGACCTGAACTTGACATTTACCACTTGTGATCAGATCTCTCAAGATGGATGTCAATACCAGGTCCAAACGGGGTCTGTGTGATGCGTTAAAAGATTACCACCTTTACCTCAAATTTGAACCATTCCGAGTTCCACTGTGGATTGAGGGATTTTGGACATACATCTGTTTTGAACGTTGTGTTTCCAAACTTAACCTGAGAAATAAAAAGGGCACAGGACAGATCATTTAAATGCACAATTTTCTGTTTAGAGTCATGATGATGTACCCACCATAGTTATAACAAAAGTTAATGTTTCAGTGTGTAGAATTTAGTGACATCTGAAGTTGAAGTTGCAGCTGAATACCCCTCACCTCACCCTCCCCTTCCAAACATGAAAGAGAACCTGTGGTAGCTTTCAGATGACAAATACTCAAGAGGTGTTTAGATTGTCCAGTTTGGGCTACTTTAAAAAAAATGGTGGCCTCCATCGGGAGGTCCTGCTCCAAATGTAAATATTAAGTATTTCAACATAAAGGGGCCCATTCTAGGGTAAAGAAAACAACACTACTGACAACATCATGAGGATTATTTTATAATCAATTTCTGCCGATAGATCCCTTTCACCTAAATCAAACACACTGAACCTTTTAGTATATGCTGTCACAGATCTATGTCAATAGTGTCATTAGGTAAAGGAATAAATCAAACCTGGTTGACCAAACATCTCCACTCACCTCTACAAAAGCATCAGTAAGGTCACTGGCTCGGTCCATCACAGGCAAGTGACGCCCTGCCACAATCTTGGCTTTCAGTTTCCCAGGCATGATTAAAATGATGAGTCGATCTGTGGAAAAACAATAACCTGCTGTCAGTAACAACGGTGGAGACTCATTACAGGGGCATATGTTGTTGACAGTGCGGAGAGCAGCCCCCTCACCCCTAGCTAATGGGCTAGCTCCACTCAGCTAACGCTCCAAGCTTAACTTAAAAAACAGCGACTGTTCAAACTTCTCTGTTGGACACGTCCACAAACACGGCAGCGGGTGAGTTAGCAAAGATTACGCTAGCAGGGCAAGGCTAGCGAGAAAAGCCACTTAGCGTTGACTGCATTGCGGGAGGCACAATCTCTTTAGCTCTACCTGATCATCGGCCATGTTTTGACAAGCACACAGCAAAGCCACCACCCATCCGACAATAACATCATCCATGCTCCTCGCAGCGGTAACAGCTTCCAGTCTTACCGGGGCGCTGGGGTATCAACAGACGGCTGTCAAAGCGTTGGTGGGACACTATCGATGACAGCCCACCGCTTATCGGACCTCCGCGTCTCTGCCATTACACGACACGTTAGTTACCGCTGCTGCACCACCCGGGGAAGTGTGCTTCCAGTCAGAAATGTCCACCGGCTGATACTACAGGTGATATATACTGTTACTGCAGTACAGCTGGTGTGAAAATACACCGACTAAGTCCGTACACACGCCGCTGGATTGAGAGTAAACCAGCGGCCAGCTCGGTCAGCGTGCGGTGAATGAGCGTTCGAGGTTTGGCGTATGCTGCATTCACGACACGTCGTGAACTGGACCTTTACAGTAAAAAAAAAAAAAAAAAAAAAAGTACGCTCTTAGTATCAGTTTGAAAAAAAACAAGAAGCTACATTCTAAGAAGCAGTGAAACTGAAAAGATATAGAAATATGAATTTAAAGCACTAATACTATAAATTGTGATATGTGTTTTACTATCTTATGAGTAGTGACGCAATGAAATCATGCTGAATTCCCAATAGTGCGTAAAGGCAGCGTCCGGGTTTGACTCACACATGCGCAACATAAACAACCTGGTTTGTCTCTTTTCTTACAAACAACTACTAATAATAATGTTACACCGTGCTTTAAAAGTCAGGAGAAAGGAGAAAATTCAATAATAAAATAGATATAATTATATAAATACATTTATAGGATTAGTCAGTGCAAATAAAAGCTAATTAGAATAACACTCGGTATACCTCCGCCGAGGCCCAGCAGTCCCCCTTTGGTCCTACACTTAAAGCTGAACTGTAGCAGACAGTAAATAAGTCTGGTAATTTGCAAACTTTTTGCTTCTGTCAAAAAACCCATCAAACCCAGGACATAACCTTCCATGTCTGTTTGGCCAAGGAAACTATTAAAAACACATCAGGGAACCAAACCATAGCACTGACGAAGACTTCCCTTAATCTGATGGGCACTGCTATTTTTATTACCTCTCCTGCTTCCATAAATATTCACTAGTTTACAAAATCTGATGCTGAAAATAGTCTCCATCATATGCTGTAGTTAGTTTGGGAAGTTCCTACTATAAACAGCACACATCTGTCTACCTCTCTCTTTATATATATATATATATATATATATATATATATATATATATATAGTTTACAGGATGTACTTTACCCATTGTTTTCTGAAAGGGTGCTGGCTGCTGCTTAACAGCTTCATCATCACAATGTTTAAAATCATTACTGGGACAGGAAGATGATTTGAACAAAAGAAGCATTTATGCTTTGTGCTCTCATAGGCCCACAAAAAAACAACAACATACAGAGAAAGCTGACACCATAAGGAGAAATCACAATGTCAGTCATTTTGAAATTGTAGCCTTCAACCAAACATCTGCAATTAGTGATGTTGCAGGCTCTTGAACAGGGTTCTCTCTTGTCTTGGTGGACTAATGTAGTCAGCAGTTCCCAGAGGCCTCTTCTCAACTCAGGGTCCTATAGGCAGTTGCTTGCTTTGCCTACCTCATTGCAATGCCCCTGTGTCTCTTAATCAATTAAAGTCAGAACATGCAGAAATTTAAAAAATTGAGATTGAAACCCAATAATGGTGACATACAAATGCAATGCTTTTTTACAAATTGTAAAACTTTTACTTAGTTTTTTATCTGTAGACAAAAATAGCCAGAATATCTCAGTGTTATAATTTCAGTTAGAAATTAAATTAGTGAACGTTAACAGGCAGCAATTCAAAATAGAAAACAGGACGTAATGAAAGCAAAGGCAAGGTTGGCATTTTATTCAGGGAAATGTATTGACTCCCCAGATTTGTCAAACAACCTGAAATTGAAAACTGTATCCCTGAGAGAAGAAACCACTGAACTGTACAAGAAGTCAGACGTTAACTCGTATAGCATCAAAGTTTGCATACCCAACTGACATTGAGTTCAATAATGCCCTTATTTACCTGCTTCACAGAGCATACACACACCTGGAGAAGTCACAGAGCACCTTGAGGATTATGTTCTTTAACTTCTCCGGTGTTTGACACTGTTCAGTGACACAGGCTGGCCCATGAGCTCTCTGTGATGCAGATGGACCGGGACCCTCTGTCATGGATCAGACTACATCACAGACAGGCCTCAGTGTGTCAGGCTGCAGGACTGATCCTGGGACACCCCACTCCTGTCATCATCACTGTTCAGCCTTTACAGCTTTGAGTTCTGATACAACACAGGAACATGCCATCCACAAAAGTTCTCTGATGACTGTATCTCAGAGGACAAAGAGCGGTATGGAGACCTGGTAGGGAGTTTTGTAGGATGGTGTGGCAGAAGTCACCTGCAGCTTAACATTAGTAAAATCAAGGACCTGAAGAATGAATGTCAAAAACAAAACCCTGATTTATGGCTTTTCTGCAAAACTCCACATTCAACTATGATCTTTGGAAAGTGGCATTGGACAGAATAGGCAGCATACGAACAAATATTGGCCAAGTGTACTATGAATTTGATCAGTTTCATGTTTGTGATACAAATATATTTCTCATCTTAAATGTTGAGATACACTTTTATCACTTTTCTGAAAATAACAAAAACAGATAAAATCAACAACATGAACTCTGTGTTTATCCGATAGAGAATCTTGAATCATATACATACAGTATATTTAATTTTGTCACAAACAAAACATTTAAAACTCATGTGCATCAAGATATGGGACACTTGTGTTTAAACATCCTCGTAGTGTGCACCGCCATTTCATTGAGGTTTCGATCTTGGCAGTGAGTATAATGCAGATAAACAAACAAAGTGACAAACATGGAACATGGCAGTATGTTCATGTACAATATCAAATAGTCAGTGGCACTCATCAGCATCAGTGTGTATCGTCTCAGTAGTGGGTAGTACTTCCAGGTAAATATACTCTGGGTTGTACTCGGTGTTGTTCTGCAAAGCTTTAGACAGTATTCAGCCCCAATTCCATCATATTGTGTTAATCTCTGTCAGTCAGAAGTAGTAACCATTATCTGTCCTTTGCTCTGGTTGTGACTGTGGTAATGTCATTGTGCTGTGACAGATGGTAAGTTTACTTGTCGGGTGTAAACTGCCGGTTCCACATGCCACGTTTGGAGTGAAAGTAGTGGAAGAAGTTCCTCAAGTAGACCCTATCCACTTCCATCCCTGACTTAATGACCCTAGAGCAGAGAACAGAGGTACAGTATGTGGGTATAGTGTTAGGTTCAGCCATAAGAAAAAAACATGAGGGGAGGAAGATTGCTGTCCTTTTGCGTTATGAAAAGAAAGTTGAAATGTCCCAAATAAAGTCAAAATAAATCAGAAGATATTTCTCTTGCATTTTGAGAATAAACTGCCACTGTTGAATCTTTGTGGTTTCTTCAACTTCAAAAAACATGACTGATTGCCACGCTGTTTTTTGTACTAAAAAAGAAGGGATTTTCTTGTTACCAAAAACAAACAATGAAGGAACAAAACAAACAATGAAGGAACAAATTTATCAATTTACCTGCACGAGGCCCTTTTAGGAGAGGCAGCCATGCACAGACCTTCGTAGTTTGATGCATTTTTAAAAGCTCTAATTGAATCCTGAAGTATCACGTTCAACATTTTTACTTTATCCTCAAAATGCAAAACTATCTTTCTCTTCAACATTTCATTTGTTTAAACACTTCAGAGCAGTGATTTCAAAAGCCAGTTCGGTTACCAATTGTGCCTGTCTGACTTACAGATCATGTGTAGGGGCTTATTATAATTTATAATTCAGTAAAAACAGCTGACTGATCATTTCTAGATTTACACTAGATGTATTTATCCCCTTTAGGATTTCTTGCAAGACTGTTGCATTAGATTTACCGAGGTGTACCTAATAACATGGCAACAGATTAGTTGTGTGAATAAGAAATTACACAAAACCACAGCAGAGACTACAAGTGCCTGGAGCTTCATTACAAATATTTTCCCTATAATGTTGAAAAGTCTGAAGGTTGATTATTGTAATAAAGTTAAAGGAAAGAAAAACATGGCTAATATGAGATTAGAATAAAAAGATAAAAAACAAACAAGCGTATCTGTCAATTTACATTTAGTAAGTAAACACACCTGTCGAGTAGTTCCCAGTCTTCCCCTCCCCAGCGGTCTGTAAATTCTTTGGTGTTCATTCCTCCCACTGCATCCAGATCAGACTTATAGATTCCAAGCAGGCCAAAGCCCTCCACCTCCCAGAAACCTGCAATCCACACATTTACATTTCAAATTTTACATTTACTACATCCACACTTAAAGGTTCAGTGTGTACAATTTAGTGACATCTAGTGGTGAGGTTGCATGTTGCAGCTGAATAGCCCTCTCATCACCTTCCCCTTCTAAACAAGAAAGAGAACCTGTGGAAACCTTTAGTTGTCTTTAAAACTCAAAGGTGTTTAGTTTGTCCAGTTGGAACTACTGTAAAGAAACTGTGGCCTCGGTATAGAAAGAACCCACTCCTGTTGTAAATATAAAGTATTTCAAAATGAAGGGCTCTTTCTAGACTAAACAAAACAATTNTATGTGGGTATAGTGTTAGGTTCAGCCATAAGAAAAAAACATGAGGGGAGGAAGATTGCTGTCCTTTTGCGTTATGAAAAGAAAGTTGAAATGTCAATAAAGTCAACACACAGTTTTCTGCACAATCTCCTGATACTGAATCTCACACTATGTGTATTTTGTAAAGGCAGGCATGTGTGCCCATATTATTGGTTTGACATATTTTTAGAAGTTTGACTTGAGTCTTTTCAACTTCCTTCTTGACATGTTGAAATAAAAATGTTCAATACTCTTCTGTACTGAGGAGTTTGTTCATTTACATTTCTTTCTTTTATTTTACTCTTCAGGGCAGTGGTTACCAAACCACCAAACAGACTCTGTCTCACATGAACATCATTAATATTAATTTGGCATAAAGTTTCCAGTTTTGATCTCATACCATCTCCAGATGGGTCTTTACTTGCCAACTGCCTCACCATGTTCAGTCACTAAGTGTGCCTGTTTGCAGTGCTGACCAGCTTGTGTGTTGTGATAGTTTAGTTTACCTAGGATTTTTTACAGGACTGTTGCATTAGATTTAGCAAAGTGTACCTAATAAATTGGGTAATTTTCTGTTTAATGCAGGTTGTGTGAGACTTTACATGTGAGGGGCATCACTACAGATGTTTTCTCAACAATGTTGAAAAGTCTAGATGTTGATGTTTCTTTATAAAGTTGAAGGAAGGAAAAGCATGGCTGATATGGGGATAGAAATAAAAACCAGAGTCTATCTGCTAATTTACATTTAGTAAGTAAACACACCTGTCGAGTAGTTCCCAGTCTTCTCCTCCCCAGCGGTCTGTAAATTCTTTGGTGTTCATTCCTCCCACTGCATCCAGATCAGACTTATAGATTCCAAGCAGGCCAAAGCCATCCACCTCCCAGAAACCTGCAATCCACACATTTACATTTCAAATTTTACATTTACTACATCCACACTTAACCTGCATCCTATTACCTTCAATTTAACCAGTTTGCATGGTTGGTAAACAGTTTTACCAACATCTACACCTACATTATAGGTATAATAGTTGTTTTTCTCTCTGTTATTTAGCAGGATTACAGCAAAAACTACCAGTGTATTACCAAACGTATTGGAAGGATGAGATATGGGCTGGGGAAGAACTCATGTGCTTTTTGGAGCGGATTTAAATAAATGGGTGAAAACAGGATTTTTTTTGGTTCAAAAAGGTCGCTCTAACGCATGAAAGATTCACAAAGACCAAAAACTGAAAGGGAAGTGGGAGATAGAACTGCATTGCATGACACTTGCACGTATACAAGGTGCACAACTGCATGTAGAGATCTGACTGTCTTTGTGGATGGTGAGAGGTTTTCAAACGATAACACGCGCAAACATAAAATAGTCCACCGGAAGTGGTTAAGCTAGCGTCCAGTGGATCGTGAATGATCCTCTGGACATTTAGGCTTAAAAATAGGCCGTAAATTATTATTTTTGCTTGCGGACACAGTATGGAGACATGTTATTGTTACCTGTTGTGTTTTTACATTTGAAAAAGTGGTCACTATGACTTCAGTTGTACTGGATTGTGCTGCAACAGGGTGTCCCTGAAACCCCTAAAGTGTTTTGTGGACTCAAATCTTTCACCCACCCTTCCATTGGCATAGTGGTGAGTAGATAATGAGTGCATTTTAATTTTAAAGTAAACTATCCCTTTAAAATGAAGCTAAAGATGTGTGTATCTACCTCTGGCCTCCAGTGGTGTAGCCCCACAGTCCAGTCTCATGACTATGGGAGTATAGGCCATGTATCCCTCCACACAGTGTTTCCTGATGCTGTCGATCATAGAGGTAGGGAATTGGAGGTGGAGGTCACACAGAAACACTATGCTGTGTTTGTCCTGAGGGAGGATGACAGAGAGATAAAGATGTTCTTATTATTCTATTGAAATGAATTGATCTTAATTATTTTACTGYTGAGAGCGGTTGCATCACTAACTTCTATGAGGTCGACTCCTGCTTGCAGACCAGCAGAGCGCTGGAAGYTTCCACTCAGCTTCAGATACTGGTACCTGATACATTCCACACACACTGTTACAGCACATACATCATGTGTATCATACTTAACCATAGGTTTATATTCAGCGTAAAAGGTCAAACACACAAATGCACAACCTGTGGAGTGACGAGCTCTTTAGAGCCTTCTCCACGTCCATGTCAGTGCTTTCGTAGTCAGTGATGATGAGGTTGAAGTTGGTGTCTCCAGTTTCTTTGAACACTTTCTCCATTTCCAAAATCAGCTGGTAAACCCACCGAGCCTGGTTTTTCACTGAGAGACGTAAACGGGAAGWTAGACACACGRCTTTAAACATCACGGCTGTCAGCTCACTTTAGTTTTTGTTAGAGGGCACATGTGGCCGCGTCGATAACCCCACCCATCATATCTCAATACAACGGACAATGACAACAAATAGCAATTTCAGAAATGTACACATATCCCCATTACACCCAGTGTGCTTTCTTTAAGGGAAGACAACACCAAGAGAAATGCACCATCACACTGCATCACTGCTCCTGAAGAGATTTTTTGGTGGATGTTTTTGTTTGTATTGTTTTGGCCATGCATATGAAGCTGGACAAACATGGAGATAAAGATGTCAAAGTACAAGTCAACTGTAAAAAAATGTCAACATTGATTTCCGTCATTTTAGGTATAGTTCTCATCAAATTATTTTTGTTCCTTCTTCCAATAAGTTTGGTTTTAACGATTTCCTTGATGTTATTAAAACATCTCGAAAAATCATGTTTGACAGATGAGAGTGAGTTGCAATTGGTCAAGCATGTGTAATGGCAGAACCTCGCTACCCAAGTTCCATCTCCAGATTGCTACTGTGCAGACGCTGGCTCCAAATAACGTCTTGGGCACAAAATGGCAGCATTTATATTCGGGATATTATTGCTTCATTTCTGGACAGTGGAGATTATCTTTATACTCGTTGATATTTGCTTGAAGAAATATCAAGAATTACCTCTGATGAAGACAAAATGTAGAATTACATACTTGATGTAGTCAATGAATCACTTTTAGGGGCATAATAGTGTGCAAACACTTTTCTAAATACAAGTTAAAAACTACAAAATCGTGTGTTAAATCATCTTAAAAGTAACTCATAACTAAGTCAAGTATAAAGGAGTGTAAAGTGAAACCTTTCCCTCTGTAGTGTAGATGAGTTGAAGTATAAAGTGGAAGGAAAATGAAAAAACTCAATTACTGTGCCTCAAAATTGTATTGATGTAAGGCACTTGAGTCARTGTTCAATCTCCACCACTAGAGATGAGCCTGGTCAAAGGTGGATGTACAGTACCTGGCACTATGATGTGGACGGTGGCAAGAGGATTCCAGCTGAAGCCCACTGGGTTACACAGCACCAGCTCAGGTTGTGGAATCAAAGCGTAGACATATTGTGACAGACGCAGCAGCCGGCCGTTAATGTCTTTCAGTAGCAGCTCCAGGAGGTAACGGCTTCCTTTGACGATGTCCACACGCTTCACCACGTTAACCACTCGCACTAATGTGAACTGTCTGCAGGGGCAGAGAGAGTCAGACACAGTGACATGTCTGCAATAACAGTTAGGAAGTCCATGCACAAAATTGTTTGATTCTAAGATGCAACATACTCCTTAAAAAAAGTACAAAAGCATTTAAAGAGAAAAACTGAGAAAACTCAGATATTTTAAAAATAGTTTTTCAACATGTAGTAATAAATAAACCAAGGGGCCCATTTCAGGGGTCAAGGGCCCACAAGGGGTGCCAACATATTGGGGACACATATAGGACAACCTGAAAACATGATGCATAAAAACTCTGTTTATTATGCCGATTTTTGTGTCATGGCTCAGGTGATGCGCTGATGCAGACAAAAATACACTTACCCATTATGTTTGTTGTTGAGTTTGTCTATGAAAGCATTCACCACTGGCAGGACATCACTGGAGTTGATCAGCAGACTGCCAGAAATTTTGCATTTCAGTTGCATTGCATCTGAGGTGTGTGCCCGGAAGTCCAGGTAGTTGATCTGGAAGGTCTGCCTCCAGTTCACCACAGGGTCATAGTCAACATTTTTCTCAACCTTCTTATCCTTAGCTTCCCGCGGGACCTTCTGTGTTTTTTTAGCAATGTTCTGCTGCTTGGTCCCCTGTTGGATCTTCTCTGACGACACAAGCTCGTCTGGTTTCCTTGACTCAGTCTGAGGAAGAGGCTTTGTGTCATCTTCCTGCACAGGTAACGAGTGGAGTATGTTCTTTAATTTCTCAGCATAACTCTCATAATCTGTTCCATAGTCTGGGAAAATTGTGTTGCTTTTCTGGTCTGGCTTGGCTTCCTTCTCATTTCGGACAGATTTCTCCCACATGAAGCTATAATCTAACATTCACCAGAGGCAAAAACAGAAAATTTGAGTGAATTGGGCTGACAACACAAGTAACTCTTTTATAAATAAGAAAAATGAGAAAATACTTCTGTCTGTGTTTTCTTGATCCTGCAGGTCAGGACTGTCTAGTTTCATGTATCTAGAGAAATTGGACCTAAAGATAAAAAATACAATTGAGATCATTTGCATTGTTTTCAGTACAGACACTTAAAAGATTAACACCGTTTTCTTTTACTGTGCATAAGATCTCCACAGATTGAAGGGTACAGCACCATTTATTGGTGATGATGTAACTCTGTCTTACTGTAAGTATGAGGGTTGATTGATCAGTTTATGAACAAAAGTCATACGAGAAGTTAAACCACAACATCCAAAGCTGACTCATCTCTGAGCAGAAATTAAGTAGAAATTTGGAAATTAATATAATCAATGGAATTTCTGTTTACTGTAATTGAAAATTGCAAGTCAATGAATTCAAAGCTAGCAGAGAAGAGGACCCTGGTTTTGGGAAGCTGGACACATGAGATCATTTAGATCTAATCATGTAAACACCATAATCAAATAACGTCCAGCATTAGGATGAGACTTTTACAAAGAAAGGATTCATATGCTTTATGACTGCTGGACTAAGGGTGTAAAAGAATTAAAAAAAAAAAAAATATATATATATATATATATGTCAATTATGACCTCATGCTATATATATATATGGCATGAAGTCATAATTGACAGACGAGACTGACTTGCAAAGACTGGTTGAGCATGTGTATCAGCGGGACCTCTCTACAATGGCTCTATTCTCTGATCGTTACTGATTGTGGCTTCAAATGTGGAAAAGAAGTGTAGTTGCATCGTCCATCTTAATATGCAGTCTATGGTCTTACTACACATGGATCTATAATTTCAGAGTCATGTTGATCCCCAGAGGTCTCACTTCTTCATGATGTCAGGGCTCTGGGGGTAGAAGCAGCTTTTCTCAGACTCCATGTGTGCGAGTCGGGTGTGGTCATTGGGGTAGATGTAGGATGATTTGACCTGGTGAGATGAAATTAAAGGATGTTAGAGACATGAGAGCTTAATGATTTGTTGCCACAATCTGTACAAAAATGCCACAATCTGTACAAAAATCAAAGTGTTGTGGTTTTTTTGGGGTTGCGTGTGTGCAGGTTTGAATTTCGGCTGAGCAGTAACCATGAGGTTACCAAGCAACCAGCAGAGACTGCAGGAAGTCACTGCAGATTGACAAATAATTAGACATTAATAACAGAGGTTGAAGAATTTAAAAGAAATCACAAATAGTGCTCCTGAATGTTTTTTTCCTACTGGGTGTAGCACACCTTGATTGATACTGTGATCATTTAGATTCCTTAGAACAAAGAAAACCTATGAAAATCCATTAAAAGATGGAAAATGTTTCTGTATCATTCTTGGTCAAGATAAAGAAGAACTAGAATTACTGCCCTGTCCCCATACATTTTGTTCATACTAATAGCTTGAATTTATATAGCGTCTTTTAAGAGACCCAAGGATGCTTTACATATGTCCGTGGGGACAGAAAAGAAAAAGTAATTAGCACAAAACCAGACAGAAATAAACAGAACTAATGGCAGGGTGGAGTATTAACTGAGGCCAAAGGCTTTAGCGAACAGGTGTTTGAATAGTTTTTTGAAGCTGTCCAGAGATGTAGCGTTGCAGGTTTCAGCAGGGAGACAGTTCCAGAGGGTGGGGGCTGCGACAGTTGCTGGCCCTAAAAGTTTGCAGTTTGCTGTTGGCGAGGGACATTATTTTACAAGTTTTCTGGCTTCAGACTCTAGTTTGATCAATCAAATTTGAGCAGGGTTGCCAGCAGGTAAATGTTTTTAAAGAAAAAAAGAGGCACAACACAATGACCAAATACATTGGCTATCTGCTTTATAATTTATCTGAATTACGCAGAGAGCTTTGAATAAAGATTAGTCAAAATATTACCTAAAACAGGACCTTAAATAAATTAGCCCCACTTTAAATAGTGAACAGCCAAAACGAGTCTTGGCCTGGATATCCACTGTCTACACTGAAAGCCCCAGAATATTGGCCGTTTCCCCCAGTGGCCAATTCCTTGTCAGATACCTTGAACACTGAAATTTGATCAGTTTGAGTCATAGTAAACATAGTAGACATTGTGTTCACAAGGCAACAAATGTGTTTTGTGAGGTCACAGCAACCTTTACATTTGACCACCAAAATCTAATCATTTCATCCTTTTGTGCAACTACTTTTATTTTTTATCTTCACTTACATTACAAAACAAATACGTACATAATTCAGTCCTTGATAGCGGTCTAGATGAATGCCTTTGATTGTGTAGCTGGGTTTGTAGTCGCAGACAGGCAAAATATCTTGTAGGAACTTGCTGTTTATCAAAGGCACTGCAAACCAATAGAAATTGGGGCCGAGATTACTTTGTGCTTCAACTTGAGGAAATCACTTGCATCCTGACTTGATACAGAACAAGACAGAGAGACGTCTCTCACCTTGGTAGAGAACATCTCGTGGGTCTTCCATCAACATGTCGACTGTGGAGCTGCTCTGTCTCGTGTTTTGGTGGCTCGCAGCTGTCTGAGGTACGTGAGCAACATCACCTGCTACCAGAGCAGACTCATCTGTGGGATGAAGCCACAGGCCAATCAAACCAGAGAAGTGCTCCACATTTAATGTGCCACAAAACCACTGACTTTATACAGTGTGAGCATCTGTGCAGAAATAATAAAGTCAGTAGTTTTGGATTGTGAGACACTCTGTGGTGCAGATTCACTCTGAGGTTTCTCTGCCATTTCAGTGTCAGAAGGAATGATGTGTGGTGATGTCTGATACGTGTCCTTACCAACATAGAGAGAGATGTCCTTGGATGCAATAACTGTGAATCTGGAGCCTTCGTCCTGGAGCTGCCACTGTGTGAAGACAAACACAAAGAACTACATTTCTCTTCTCTCTTTAAAAGCTCAGATTACACAATAATGAGAAAGCTGCAAATGAGAAAACAGAGAGGGGACTTTTTTTCTGAGCTGGATCGAGCTACTTACTGCCACCTCCACATGGTCTGTCCCTTCATGGTCCTGCTTGTGTAGAAGTTCGAAAAAGTACTTCCTCTCTGCAGAAAGCCTGTCAGACAGTAACAGTTCATATTTAGAACCACACCATAGACATATTAGACAACAGAGCTAAACAGCTTCAAGTAGCCAAAAGGTTCTTTGTAGGTAGCTGACTGGCTTGACTGCTCTATATTGAGTGTGCAGCACTTCTGTCCCTTCATTTGTTTCAGGGTGTAACAACATCATAGAGTAAAATCTAATCACTTAGAGACTTAAAATTCTCCTTCTCATGTCTCTTCTTCTTTAGCAGCTTAAAATACACACGTTGAATAAACATTAACACAATTTTAAAGCCATAAATGTTTCTATTCTCACGCTTGAAGCACACTTACAGTACGGTTCTTGTTAAGGTACAAACAATGCCACCAGGCACGTACAGTACTGGATCTTTATTGCTGATTCTTTTTTCTGTTTTGGTATCAATTGAAACTGGTCTAGATTGTAAAGTCTATAAAACTGCCTGTAATCCACACCCACACTCTGTGACAAAGCTTTAATAACAAGGTCATGTAATAGGTACAAACAGCCGTCTTATTCTTTCCAGCACCTACATTGAGTTTTTACCGTATCAGTATTTATGAGTTAAATTCCCAGAGGAACATTTGCGTTTTTACGTAGAACTAGGTTATGAGAACTTATCAGTTACGAGACTGGATGTGCTTCTGTTGAGACATGAGTTTTGGTGACGTTATCCATAGATACAGGGGAGAGGGCAGTGTGGCCCCCAATTTTCTGTCCCTGACTCAACCCGGATATCATTTCAAAATTTCTGTCCAAAATCTATCCGAAGCCTTACACAGGGGACTTGTAAGAGACAGTTTGAAGAAAGAATGGTCAATGTTGGCAAAGCAGAGGCTGCAAAAGCTCCACGTAAGGACCCCTGTATGGATCAAGATGGATCCTACAAGTCCCACTGTGCAAGTCCTGATCTCATTTTTTAGTGTTGCTTCTTGTGATAAGTTAGCAGATCCTGGTTTGTAAAATCTATTTCACACAAGTTTTTGCTTCTTTTTAACCTTTTTTGTGACTAGAAATCCAGCTGACTTTTGAGGCCATAGCTACTGTTATTGAGATATTTCTGCCCGTGTTGTTCTCACTGGTTTGAAGACACACAAAGAGAGAGAGAGAGATCTCACACACACACACAGACAGACAGAGAGAGAGTAAACTCACCTAACTGGTCTGGATATCTGACTAGCGTATTTCTCAAACTCGCCAGGGGCGGTCCACTCTGTGCCAGTCTAATAAAAACATTTTTGACATTAACCCCATTAATCTTTAATCTTAAAGGGCAAACTTGGAATAAGCACAAATCAAATTAAGAGTATTCAGACCTCAGTCACATTATGTAGACATGTGTATGTTCATGTTACTTTATCCTATTGGAGTTTTTCCAGCATTTTTCAACATCAACATAAAGTAGTTACCCACTGCTTGATGACGAACACCCTGGGTTCGAGWGTAAACTAGGAGTATGATGTAACATTGATATGAATCATTATCAGATGCTYTGTTACATATAAAGAGGAATCAATGATGAATACTATTAGCAACTCATGTGAACAATCAAAAATCAATTCTTATTCAGAATAAGATCAATAGTCAGAATATTGATGTCCATGTWGTCAGTGACACAAATGTGGAAATGTTCCTCTGCTGCTTAAGAAGATGACTGAGATAAATACCTTTCCAACCCATCCCAGTAACTGCACATTGAGGGGGGAGTCATCTGTGCTGAGCCACAACTCAGAGTTGTCCTGAGAGCTCAAAGCAAAAACAAACTCTCCTGAGAGACAAAGGAAAGTAGGGGTTATAAGGATTCAGACAGACATGGGTACAGTATCTAGAGAGATGTATGATATCTATTACATTACTTTTCCTTTAGCTGATGCTTTTCTCCAAAGTTACTAACAATAAGTGCATTCAACCATGAGGGTACAAACCCATAAACTAGACCTGATCTGTTCACAGCATGGTACACAAATACTAGCGTTTGGAAACGGATGTGGGAAGCCACTGGTAACCAGTGAAGGTAGCGGAGGAGTGGAGTAGTGTGGGTGAACTTAGGTAGGTTGAAGACCAGTCGAGCTGCTGCATTCTGGACATGTAAGCATGGTAACAGAAGTGACTAGTGAGGTACCATCAGTGTATGGATGCAGATAGCCAAATATCCTGAGTCCATAGCTGGTCCAATTAGGAGAGACAGCCAGCTTCAGTGCTGTAGTTCTGGACTGAAAGAGGAAACAAAGAATCAGCCACCATGTTTACTCAAAGAGGGACAACATCTTGAGTCCAGGGACCTGAGGATCTAACATGTGGATGTAGAATGCAACTCTGTGTAAAAACACCTCACTGTGACACTGAAGAAGAAAAGAGGATCACTTCGGTCAGTAGGATTAATCCTCTGGGGATCATGAATGTCTCCATGAAATTTCATGGGGTTCCATCTGAGAGTTTACTGAGTATTTGAGTGCATATACCTCCACCAAGGCTTAAAATCTATAAAGTTGCACCAAACTGCAGACACTCATGATCACAGTCCTAGATAAAAGATAATAGAGCTGGTTCTTTTCATTAAGATCAATGAATGATTCCCTGGGAGTTCGCTCTTTCTTGGCCCATTTCCCATCCCTCCACCAAGTTTAGTGGAAATCTGTTCAGTAGTTTTTGCGTATTCCTGCTGAAGAACAAACAATGCAATGGACAGGGGCACAAACACACCCACCCTGGCTGAGGTAACGATCCACTGAACATAATTAATGCAGTGTGAGGTGCTCAGGTCAGACTCTGACTCACGTGAGGATACAACGGGTAGTGC